CACTCAGCACGGCACCAGTGAATAGTCCATTCTACGGTGCACGCTGAGACGCGCACGTGCGCTGTAGTGCCGACCCGTTCGACAGGGGGGAAGGAGGAGGGAGGAGGAGGAGGAGGAGGAGGAGGAGGGGGGGGGGAGGAGGAGGAGGAGGAGGAGGCGAGGAGGTAGGAGGGAGAGGGAGGAGGGAGGAAGCGAGGAGGGAGGAGGGAGGATGGGAGGAGGGAGGGGGAGGAGGAGGAGGGGAGGATGGGCAGGAGGGAGGAGGAGGAGGGAGGAGGGAGGAGGGAGGAGGGATGAGGGAGGAGGGAGGAGGGAAGGAGGGAGGAGGAGGATGGGAGAGGGAGGAGGGAGGAGGGAGGGGGAGGAGGAGGCGGGAGGAGGGAGGAGGAGTAGGGAGAGGGAGGAGGGAGGAGGGGAGGAGGGAGGAGGAGGAGGGAGAGGGACGGAGGGTGGTAGGAAGGGAGGGAGAGGGGGAGGGAGGAAGGGAGGAGGGAGGAGGGGTGGGAGGAGGGAGGATGGGAGGAGGGAGGAGGGAGGAGGGAGGAGGGAGAGTGGGAGGAGGGAGGAGGGATGTGGGAGGTTGGGAGGGAGGTCAGGAGGAGGAGGAGGAGGAGGAGGAGGAGGAGGAGGAGGAGAGGAGGGGAGGGAGGAGGAGGAGGAGGAGGAGGAGGAGGAGGAGGAGGAGAAGGAGGAGGAGGGAGAAGGGAGGAGGAGGGAGGAAGGAAACACGCCGCATTCTATTCTCGGCACTTCCCTGGCGTGGCGTTTAGCTGCCCGCAGCAGATCCTCACCGACATGCTATTTCTACCTGTCCTGTGCACGCAGGCACTCTGGTGTACACCAGCGCTGCGTTGCACGCGGATGCTGTGGTGTAGACAGGCGCTGTGGTGTGCACAGGCGCTGCGGTGCACGTAAGCGTTGTGGTGTCGACAGGCGCTGTGTTGCACATGGCTGTTGCGGTGTACACATTCGCTGTGGTGTACATCGGCGCTGTGGTGCGCGCAAGCACTATAGTGTACAGAGGCGCTACGTTGCACACAGCTGTTGCGGTGTACGCAGGCGCTGTGGTGTACACAAGCGCTGTGGTACACGCGAGCACCGTGGTGCACACAGGCGCTGTGGGGCAGATCGCCACCTACATGCTGCTCGCGTCGTCGTCGTCGTCGTCGTCGTCGTCGTCGTCCTCGTCGTCGTCGTCGTCGTCGTCGTCGTCGTCGTCGTCGTCGTCGTCGCTCGTCGCTCGTCGCTCGTCGCTCTTTGCTCATCGTCGTTGTGCGCGGGGGAGCGGCTGTGGTGCCAGAGCCGCACGGCGGGGGGGACGTTATTTCATACCCCCCCGCCCCACCCCCCATGACGCCTGTCATCGCCGATGATAAAGACACGCGCTCTGAGAAGCCCCGCCGCCTTCTGAGAGGGCCTTCTCCTGCCCCTGCTCGCCGCCGAGTTTGAGGCACTTCGTCCTGACTCTGGATGGGACAATAATCGCTCCCCCGTTGAATCCGCTGGGGGGGTTGGGCACGTGCTGTCGGCAACAGGCGGGGGGGGGTCGGAGGAGAAGGAGAATGAGGAGGGGGGGGAGGAGGACGGAGGGGGCGGGATTGGGCCAGCTCAGTCGGGAGGTTAATCACCCCGCTGCGTCAAACCCAGAGTCGCAGGCGGCGGCGGGAGGGGGAGGCCGGGCGGAGCGGAGCGGAGCAGGACGGGATGAGGACGGGGGCCCCCAAGGTGGCGGCGGCTCGAAGACGGGGCCCTGAGGGATCGAGGGAAGGGGCCTTCCGTCGAAGAGCTCTAGGCCTCCCACATGGGGTCGGAGTAGATGGGGTTGGAGGATTTTGCCGCATCGCCGATGCCTCGGCATGCGGCTCCATGTGGGGTCACATTTTCTCCACACCGACGTCGCCGATGCATCGCAGACGTCGCCAGTGCATGGCCAATGCATCGCCGATGTATCGGCGATGCATCGCCGATGTATCGGTGATGCGGCGAGATCCTCCGACCCCATCTATTCGGACCCCATCTAGGAGGACTCTAAAAACGAATACCAGCATGCGCGCTGGTCGTCGGAAGGAGGTTTTCTTCCTTGGGTTCATAGGTTCCAGTCTGCTTCAAGCGCCCTTCCTGCTTCAAGATTCGTTGTCTGCTTCTGCCGTGTGTTGTTCTTCTCTGGGAGGGCCTGCACCCAATCCACTGATCTACTTTTTTTGCCTCTCTTTTTCATGTTCTAACGTACTTCTTCCGACCTGCGAGTAAGCATATTTTTTGGCGCTTGACGCGGACCGTCAGGTGTGTATGTTTATGCCGTTTTTTGTTCGTCTATTCAGGCCAGGGGCAAAGGGGTGAGGACAGTACGACCCCCACCCCTACCCCCACCAGGACCCCCACTCCCGACCTGGGGATGGGGCCTTCAGGTTGGGGGCAACGATCGCGCTGCGTGGCCGATGCGTCGGTGATGCGGCTCGATGTGGAGCCCGATTTTCTCCACGCTGCCGCCGCCGATGCGTCCCTGATGCATCGATGATGCATCGGTGATGCATCTGCGATGCGGCCCAGCCGGCCGCCTGAGGTCCGAGTAGTGGCCCGAAGACTACCAGGGGCAATGAAGGGGGGGGAAACAGTGGAGATCCATGCCAAGAAGCACATGGCTTGCCTCCAGTCCAGGGTGCCCTGGGTTTCCTGGGTTTCGATGGTTTTGCGATGGCAAGTGCGAAGCTCCCACACCAAACATCAGTGGACGTCCTGGGGTCTCAGGGATGGGTCTCTCGTGGAAGGTTTCTTGTGGGCGGGCCCCTACTGTAGGCATAGGTGGGGAGGCATCGCCCCCCAATCGCCCACATATCGCCGATACGGGCCTGATAGCCCCAACCCGTGGAGGAACGTGCGGATTCGCTAGCGGGAGGGCTGTCGCCGATCTATCGGCGATGTGTCGCCGATTCCAGGTCGATGTCCCCCCCCCCCCTTCCTCCTTGTGCTGGTCCCCCCCCCCTGTCGTTGTCCCCTACTTAAAGAACAGGGAGGGATTCCAGGCTGAGTTTACACCGTTCGATGCCCATCGACCTCGGGGCCCCATCCCCCAGGGCCTCATCTTCGAACCGCCAAAGGTTATAGAAACAATGTTCGCGCGTTGGGCGCAGGCACCCGCCGGCAGATGAGCCACAGTTCAAGAGCGCAGGAAGGACGCACACGTACATGAGTCCATGTTGGTTTCGAACGTACGCAGTGCGCGAACGTGTGTACCACGAGGCTGGTCTCAAGGACTGGGGGGCCGTATTCATGTACGTGGTCGTGCGCGTACAGTCGGGGCGCTGAAGAAGGAACCCTTCTCATTGGTGATGGGCTCGGTGTTCCTTGATTGTTTTACAGTTTGCCTTGGGTTTTAGGTTTTCCATGGGGAATCGAAGTTTAACGTATGGGAGAAAGAGGCCACGTCCCCATGCCAAGTTGGCAGTCGTTGCGATCGAAGCGGGTACTCGTCGACGTGCAAAGTGGAGGGTTTCTCCGAAGGGCTTAGGCGACCCGCCCTTCTCTCTCCTTCTCCTCCTCTTCCTCCTCCTCCATCTCCTCCTCCTCCTCCTCCTCGGTTCGCCTACGGCCCCGGGGGAAACCGTGCAGAAGCTGGTACCCGTCGACGTGCAAAGTTGGCAGGAGGAGGGGGGAAGGATTCTCAGAAGGGGGCTGCTTCTTAGAAGGCGCGGGCCTCATCTATAGATGTAAAGCCGGCGCTTTCTGAGAAGCAGCCTCCTAGGAAGCCTTCCCCCCCCCGTACGCCCTTGTGCTCGCTGCCAAAAGTCGGTATTCGCTCCGATCGAAACAGGTGCGGCTGGTTCGCGTCCTGCCACCGGCGGCGACTCCACCGCCAGCGTTCAACGTGCAACGCCAGTGAATGAGCTGACGTCTCGGAAGCGGCCACGACCGTTCAAGCTTGAACGATCCCCGCGATCGAAATGGGTACGGAAAGGATTCGGCGGCGAGCCCAGGGGGGAAATGAGAAGGGGCAGGCCTTCTCAGAAGGCGGCGGGGATTCGCAGAAGCCCCCCCCCCGGCCGTTGTGAAACAGTCTCTGTCTAAGGAGAATGCTTGAATCTTCTCAGAAGTCCGAGACCTTCTAATCCTTCAGATAAAGCCTGCCCCCCCCTCACTTCCCCGCCGGGCTCGCCGCCGAAGAACGGGGACGAAAATCAACAGTAGTCGGAGAAGGAACAGAGGCATAGCACTCAAACTTTCGGAGTTTCGCGCGGATTTCCTGGATCGGGGGTGGGCCTCCCTGGCAGCGCTACCGGCGCCGCCCCGATCGCGCTCCCCGAACCAGTGAGGGGGTTCAGCGCAGATCCAAGAGGTCCGCGCGGACCTTTGAAAGCTGATGCGTTTCTGTTCCAGTTCTCTATGGAGTTCGCTGTCGATGTCGCCGCGGACGTTGTCCGTTTGAGACAAGGTGTATCCTGCCCAGCAGCGGCCGCTGTCAGTTTTGGACAACATTCGCTGCTGGTCATCGTGCCCATGTTTTCCGTATCCTTTTCGGTCGTGTCAGCAAACTATTTTGGTGTGGATTCTTCTTCCCGATCGAATTCAGAGCAGGCTCCTTTCGCAAGAGGCGCCTGTGATCAGCATTCGGGGGCCTCCGACTATACATCTGCCCCGATCATGGCAATGCTGACCCACGGATCGATGTATACCCCCTCGTGCCACCCGCTGCCTTGGCCAGGAAGGCGTATACACCGATCCTGGGACCAGCGTGGGCCTGGCCAGGATCGGTGTCCACGGCCTAGTGACCGCCACCCCTCCAGAAGCGGGAGAAGCGCGGGGAGGCGGAATGGGGGCGAGGAGGAGGAGGAAGAGGAGAAGGAGGAGGAGGAGGAGGGGAGGAGGAGGAGGAGGGGGGGGAGGGGGAGGAGGAGGAGGAGGAGGAGGAGGAGGAGGAGGAGGAGGAGGAGGAGGAGGAGGAGGAGGAGGAGGAGGAGGAGGAGGATGAGGAGGAGGAGGAGCCGCCCCCTGCGCTGAAGCAGGACTTTGGCTGGGTCAACGCGGGGCTCGCCGAACTCCTCTACACGTTCGTGCTGGTGTTCGTGGTCCTGAACGTTGCCGCGAGCAGGGCGGCCGCCCGTCGTCTTCGTCGTCGTCGTCGCCTTTGTCGTCGCCTTCGTCGTTTTCGCTTCGGTCTGATGTCTCCGGGCGCGCACACTTACAAGCGCCCGCGCGCACTGGCGCGCGCAGAACATGGCGCGGAAAGGCAAGTGCATGCGTGCTCCGAGAGATGGACGTTCCCCCCCCCCACCGCGCACATGCACTTTTTCCGCACAGAGACAGACAGGCAGACAGACAGACAGACAGACAGACAGACAGACAGACAGACAGACAGACAGACAGACAGACCAGACACACACACACAGACACACTGACACGTGGACACACAGACACACAGTCACACAGACACGCATACTCACAGACACACAGTCGCACGGACACACAGACACACAGACACACATACTCACAGACACACAGTCGCACAGTCGCACAGCCGCACAGACACAGACACTTACACTTGTACTTACACTTACACTGACACTTTCACTTGCACCTGCACTTGCACTTGCACTTACATTAACACTTACACATGCATTTACACTTACACTTGCACCTGCACTTGCACTTGCACTTATACTTTCCCTTCCACATCCACTTATACTTAAACTTACACTCACACCTACACCTACACTTCTACTTACACTTACACTAACAATCAAACTTACACTTACGACGCTTACGCTGACGCCGACGCTGACGCTTACGCTTACGCTTAGACTGACACTTTCACTTACACTTACACTTGCACCTGCACTTGTACTTGCACTTGCACTAACACTACCACTAACACTAGCACTGACACTTAGACTTACACTTGCACCTGCACTTGCATTTGCACTTGCATGTACCTTTGCACTTTCACTTACTTGCACTTGTACTTGCATTTGTACTCGTTCTTGCATTTGCACTAGCTCTTGCACTTACCCTCACACGTGGACTTACACTTACAGCTACACACACCAGCACCACCACCAACAGCAACTACAGCAGTCATCCTAATATTGTTCGCTCCTGCCTGCTCGCGTGTCATTCAACACGTTTACACCAAACCCTGGGTACCCCCGCCCTCTGCGTCTTCAATCGTACCTCCTCTGGGGGTATATCTTCCTTACCTGCCGCGTGTAATTGGTGCGGCGCGGGGAAGAGAGGACCGATGGAAGGGGGTTGGAAACGGATGGAGCACGGGATTAGCAGGAGGGGGGCTAGGAACAAAACGCACGTGGCAGAACCAGACGGGCCCATCGGGCGGATAGACCTAACGGGCGGGTCGGGAAGGTGGACCCAAGCGGTTGGGTCGAGAAGGCTTGTTGTTGAAGCGTGCGTATTGCATGCATCGCGAGGGGAGCTCGAACGATAGCGCGATTCCCATGTAAATCTTGCGAAAGGCCAAAACGAGAACGTGATTTCTGAGTGTCGAGGGCGGGGCGTCTGAATTCTTTACGCTTCGCGTATCCCCACCAGCCCATCTCAAAACAGCAACTCTTGCGAAGCATGCCGACAGTCGTGTTTTTCAGGCGTGTTTCCGCCTGCCCCCGCATATCTCCCCTGTTCCTCCTTCCTCCCGCCTCCTTGTACATCCTCCTTGTGGTGGGAGCGGGAGAAGGACGAGGCGGAGGAGGAGGGAGAGAAAGCGCTCCTCGTGGTTTGAGTCGTTTGGGGTTTCTTGTCCTGGTGTGAGTCGTTCGGGCCCTTCTTCCTGGTGTGAGTCGTTCGGGCTCTTCGTGGTGTGAGTCGTTCGGGCTCTTCGTCCTGGTGTGAGTCGTTCGGGCTTCTCGTGGTGTGAGTTGTTCGGGCCCCTCGTCCTGGTGTGAGTCGTTCGGGCCCCTCCTCCTGGTGTGACTCGTTCGGGCTCCTCGTGGTGTGAGTCGTTCGGGGCCCTCGTCGTGGTGTGAGTCGTTCGGGCTCTCGTGGTGTGAGTCGTAGTAGTAGTAGTAGTAGTAGTAGTAGTAGTAGTAGTAGTAGTAGTTAGTCGTAGTAGTAGTAGTAGTAGTAGTAGTAGTAGTAGTAGTAGTAGCAGTAGTAGTAGTAGTAGTAGTAGTAGTAGTAGTAGTAGTAGTAGTAGTAGTAGTGTAGTAGTAGTAGTAGTAGTAGTAGTAGTAGTAGTAGTAGTAGTAGTAGTAGTAGTAGTAGTAGTAGTTAGTAGTAGTTAGTAGTAGTCAGTAGTAGTAGTAGTAGTAGTAGTAGTTAGTAGTAGTAGTAGTAGTAGTAGTAGTAGTAGTAGTAGTAGTAGTAGTAGTAGTAGTAGTATTAGTAGTAGTAGTAGTAGTGGTAGTAGTAGTAGTAGTAGTAGTAGTAGTAGGAGTAGTAGTATAGTAGTCAGTCGTCGTAGTCGGTCGTAGTAGTAGTAGTAGTAGTAGTGTAGTAGTTAGTAGTAGTAGTAGTAGTAGTAGTCGTAGTAGTAGTAGTAGTAGTAGTAGTAGCAGTAGCAGTAGCAGTAGCAGTAGTAGTAGTAGTAGTAGTAGTAGTAGTAGTAGTAGTAGTAGTCGTAGTCGTAGTCGTAGTCGTAGTCGTAGTCGTAGTCGTAGGAGTAGAAGTAGAAGTAGAAGTAGAAGTAGAAGTAGAAGTAGAAGTAGAAGTAGAAGTATAAGTATAAGTAGAAGTAGAAGTAGAAGTAGAAGTAGTAGTAGATGTCTTTTGGGATCCTCTTGGAGGCCTTTTGGGGCGTCTTCGGCGCCTCTTGGCGGCCCTAGGGGCTTCTAGGAGCGTCTTGGGTGCCTTGGGGGAGCCTCTTCGGGCCTCTTGGGAGCCTCTTGGAGGCCGTTTGGGGCGTCTTGGGGGCCTCTTGGCAGCTCCAGGGCCTGCCAGGAGCGTCGTGGGTGCCTCGGGGGAGCCTCTGGGGGCCTCTTGGGGGCCTCTTGGGGGCATCTTGGGGGCCTCTTGGAGGCCTCTTGGGGCCTCTTGGGGCTCCCTGTGAGGGGTCTGGGAGGAATCTTGGGGCCATCTGTCGGGGGATCGATCACAGATGAGGAGAGCATTTTTTCTCCCTCCCCCCGTCGGGGCCAGAATCCTCGTGAGGGGTGTCGTTTTTTAGCCCTCCCAGGAGTCGAAAACGACCCCTCTGACCACCCGCGGAACGCCCTCTCCAGGCCCAGGGGGAGGGGGTAGGGGGAGGGGTAAACCCCTCCCCGAAGGGGAAGAAGGGGGGTTGAGAACAGAGAGAGCTCGCTAAACCACTCACGCCCAACGGGCTGGTGGGATTCATTGCGAGGAAGTCCCATGCGAGAGCGCGGTTCCTGTATACCTTGTGAGGCACTCCCGCGGGAGGGCGAGATTTCGGAATACACTGTGAGGAGGTATCAGGCGGGAGCCCTTGTCGTTGTTGTTGTTGTTCTTCTTCTTGAACTCTCACTGCTGGGGACTAATGATAGTTGATCCCCCCCATCCAGTGACATTTTTTTCAAGTGAAGTGGTTCCCACGGGGCTCGCAGGCTCAAGCTTGGTTGTTGGGCCCCAGGATTACAACAACACGGGCTCCCGCTTGCGACTTCTTCACAGTTTAGCCAGGACCCCCGCTCCCGCCTGAGACTTCCTCGCATTTTACTTCGGAATCGCGCTCTCGCCTGGAATTTCTTCACAATTTATGCAGGAATCGCTCTCTCGGCGCTCTGGAGTGCCGCTCTCGCTGGAGACATGTTTGCAATTTATTTCAATAATCGCGCTCTTGCGTTGGAATTTCCTACAATTTACTAAAGTGCCGCGCCCCCACAGCTTACTTAGGAATCGGGATATCGCTGCCCTTCGTGGCCCCCTCGCTGCCCTTCGTGGCCCCGTTGCAGCCCTTCGTGGCCCCCTTGCTGCCCTTGGTGGCCCAATTGCAGCCCTTCGTGGCCCCTTCGCTGCCCTTCGTGGCCCTGTTGCAGCCCCTCGTGGTGCCCTCGCAGCCCTTCGTGGCCCTGTTGCAGCCTTTCGTGGCCCCCTCGCTGCCCTTCGTGGCCTCGTTGCAGCCCTTCGTCGCCGCCTCGCTGCCCTTCGTGGCCCTGCTGCAGCCCTTCGTGGCCTCCTCGCTGCCCTTTGTGGCCCCGTTGTATCCCTTCGTGGCCGCCTCGCTGCCCTTCGTAGCCCCGTTGCAGCCCTTGCTGCCCTTCGTGGCCCCGTTGCGGCCCTACGTGGCCCACTCGCTGCCCTTCGTGGCCCTTCTACGTATACCCTTCGTGGCCCCCGCTCGTTCGCGCCCGTCGTGGCCCCATATGCATGCGCTTCGTCGCTCCGCTGTCGCCCTTCGTGACCCCATCGCTGCCTTACGTGGTCCCGTCGCTGACCTCAGTGGCCCCGTCCTTGCCCTCTGCGGCGCAGTATTCGCAGACCCTTCGTGGCCCCCGCTCGTTCGCGCCCGTCGTGGCCCCATATGCATGCCCTTCGTGGCCCACTGTCGCCCTTCGTGGCCCCCTCGCTGCCCTACGTGGCCCCGTTTACCCTCAGTGGCCCCGTCGCTACCCTCCTGTGGCCCCCCATTATCTGCCCGTCGTGGCCCCCGCTCGTTCGCGCCCGTCGTGGCCCCATACGCATGCCCTTCGTGGCCCCGTTGTCGCCATTCGTGGCCCCCTTGTTGCCCTTCGTTGCCCCATCACTGCCCTTCGTGGCCCCGTTGTCGCTCTTGCTCTCGCTCTCGCTCGCGCTTCGCTCGTCGTCGTCGTGCCCCCTGTCCGTCCCTCCTGGGGTCGGGTTGCCGCCGGTCAGCGCTGCCGCTGGCCAGGCCGACGGTCCGCGACCGCCCCGCCACTTGCCGGGGCCCGACTGGCTGGGAAGAATATACCCCCCAAAGGAGGTACGATCGAAGACGAATTGGGCGGGTATCGAGGGTTTGGGAAATACGCGTTGAATGACACTCGAGCGCAGTCTTAAGATGATTGTTGTTATAGTTGTTGTAGTTCGGGGCCCAACAGAGTAGTTCGGTGACACCACGCTTCCCTGATAAGATAAGAAACAGGTTGCGAGCCCCGAGGGGGACACTTCAATTGAAAAGTGCAATGGTTACCGGAAGGGGGAACCATAATTCTACGAAGTGGGA